ATTGTGGTGGATATATGGCCACTGATTGAGAACAGGTGTTGAGTATAATACAATGTTACCATAAACATGGCAGGGCCACAGTGGTTACGTCGGCATTGCCAAATTGGCATTCGGGATTTTCAACAGCTTTTCAAGGTGATTTTCCGCAGGGTGGCAGAGGACGGGGCCGATTGACCTCTCTCAAGCAATTTGCCCCATCTTTTGGAAGATGCCCCCATCCAATCGCGGTGAGTATGCTGCGGTCAACACATCTACGCCACGTGCAGCATGTGACGTGCTCGAACGGTGATGTGGTGTTCCAAACAGGATCCAGAATTTCCCCAAGTCTGGCTGTGACGAGATAGGCAGCGGACAGTGGAGATTTTCCAGCAGGGGAACTCAAACAAACCGAATCCAATCTCTCCGCGACAAGCTGGAGCCTGTAAGATGTGTGGCGCGTGGCTTCCCTCCGACGAGGAAAACTTCGGCTCCTTTACCCTCACAGTATATGGTATTAGCTTCAGTTGGAGGAGCCCCACATTGCAAATCAACAGGAGGCCCAGGGACTAACGTAGCGTGAGTCACGTTGAACATTAATCTGCTCCCTCCTCTCATGACCATCGACGTCATCGAGGCACATTTCAGTGGTACATAGTTGTTCATGTAGAGGGTGTCCAACGGCTGTGGAATGGGGATCTCCCATGGGAAGTTGATTGGGGCGATCAACAGAGTGGGAAAGTGAATTAAGACTACAATTTAGTCTCAATTAACTAAATTATGAGGCCAAACTAACTCGACACTAGGCAAAAACGAAACAGGAACGAGAAACGAAACTGTATGGAAGCTTTGTGTTTTGGCAAGGGATTGGTGACAGCATACATGGGTCACTGGAGTGCTCGATGGCGAGCGATGAAGTTCTCCGGTTTTTGTGCTAGGAGATCTGGATACTCTCATACATGCATATATGGCCGCATATTGGGCCGCAGAGACAAGTCTGAGCAGAGGATCTGGTGGGTGTGATCAAGAGGAGTACTGACAATGATGCACACTCGCCAGGAAGCCTTTGATGAAGCTGATATTGACGCCGAGTAACAGGACAGGCTGTCGGCCTATGCCACCGAGGGGCGAGACCAGGTTAACCGATACATCGTTGTAGCCTACGAACCTAACGAGGTTTCGTGCTCTTCCAGCCTTGAGCGTATTGAGACCACCTATCAATAGGCTCCGAACCGGGGTCATCAGCGATACCAGCAATACACAGAAAGGTTTAAATATGATCACGCCTGGCCCACTGGACCAAATTTCCAGTTGAATGTAAGAGAGCCCAACCTCCCCCTTTTTCCCGCCAAGTCGACCCGAGTGAATATGCTCACTCCCACGACTAGCAGCATCTTGTGTTCAATCATGGTCGACGGTGGACCGAAACAAAATTCATGGATTTTCGTCATTGGGTCATCGATGGCTCGATAAAGAAAGGCTTTATATAGAACACCAAAGAGCGTTTTCCATGCCCGGTTGGATTCTACAGTACAAACATTATCCCGTCACATATAATTCATCGTATAGAGTTGGTGATTACATTGCAAGAACAGTGTAGCCGTGCACATGTTCTCCATAGCGTGTAATAGTGTTCGACACGTTGAGAAAAAAGTGAAGAAAATGGGTCTTTTTGTGCAAATCATCGAATTTGAAGGTGTTTCCTCCGGCTTCTTCCCTTTGCTTGACTATAACACCACAACGTTCAAGAACAAATCGACCTATAATCGACATATCATGCGCATGACAATATCATGTTGTTAATAGGTTTCCATCTACGGTTCCTCCACAAAGTCTTCAACATTCTGAAACACCAGTTTTTTTCAGACCCTGTTCTGCAGGGTTCAGCGGGCTTGATTACTCTCCTGAGGCAACCATCTTGAGAGTGTACTAATAGTACTCCTGCACTTACTTCGTCGTCAGAAGATCCTATCATGTCGCTAGGAGAACCTAACAAGAACTATCCTTCGTCCGAAACCGAGGTGGGACGCTACCGGGCTCACACTCGGCCTGTTGCTGAATGATGTCCGCATACTGAGGGTACTGAAATACACCAATTGTAAAGCTCACAGCCCCGCACTGCTACATCGCTCATCTTGTCCTCCAAGCGGCGTCTGATAGGCCCAAGAACGCGGTCGAATTTCTCCTTCGAGAGACTCAACACTCGGCAGCCTTTACCAGACGCGTAGACTGTAGCCTTCCTAGGGGCCTTAGTCAACAAAGCCAGCTCGCCAAAGTAACTGGAAGAGTAGTATGACCATTCTAGCGTCAAAGTTATGCGTTTAGAGCCTACTCTCCAGGGGTGTTATAAACTTTGGCGACGACCTCGTTGCCATCCTCACCAGTCAGACAAGCCTTAGCCTCTCCCGATTCGAGGATGTAGAAGCTGAGCAACGCACTATGAAGGATTCCCCGCTGCATGTGGGGGAGGACTTATCGCCGGGCTCTCCTTGCTTCATGAGGACATCTCCGGCCTTGTGCTCTTTCGGCTCCAGCATGTCCGACAGTTGGCACAACTCGTAGTGATTGAGATCCTTCAGTATGGGCATCTGCCATGGGAGAATGACAATGAAGTCATCCCCAACGTAATGAGGCTTAAGATGAGACTAAACAGTTCACTTGGCCCTCGAGGATGGCACAGCTGCGATACTGACCAAATTAGTCCTCACTTACGGATCGTAAGAAATCCTCGTACTTCTTCTTCTTAGTCGACTCGGCCGAAATGACCATCATTTGGAAGGATAAACGGTCGAGTCCCCAAGTCTGAATATGCCACAATGAGTTTGAAAGCAAAGAAAGTGCTTCTTCTCTGTTCGCATTTACCTTGCCGGCCTCTGTACACTTCACTGTTGCCGCTCGAGGGGCCTTGTACATGAGGGCTAGCTCACCAAAGCATGCACCCTTCGTACAGCTCAGGACCTGCACACCTCCACGGTACTCCTAGCCACTACGGAGGGGCTCACTTTGTCACCGAGAGGAACATCATCGCCAGCAGGAGCCGTATCGCCCTCAGGGGATCGATAGACGTAGATGTCATATTGACCACTCTCGACTATCCAGAAGGCATCACCCTCATCTCCTTGCTTTATGAGAATGTCTCCAGGACTGAAGCTTCCCGGGTACCTACCACAGGAGAAACAGGGCACAAGAAACTGAACTGCATGATGCAACCTTCGAAGGGATAACCTCAGAAATGTTGGTACCAGCGAGTTCAGATCAAAATCGAATCTCAAGTTGGAACTGAACACGGAGATTGTGAGAATCGTTACATGGCCATGATGACGTCCGTGATTTCTTCCTCATCTAGGTGACCGAAAAGGACCTAAGAAGGAATTCAGCATAATCAGCCTCGCGAGCCGGCGTACATGGAGTCTCTCGTTGGTGCGTATGATGTCGCGGAGCATCTTCTGGGTCGACTCGTCCTTCTCATTGACCGGCTTCACCCAGTTCTTCCTGTCCTCTTCAGAGACCGTCTGCGCTGATACTCCGGACCGGCGTCGTCTCTCGGTAGTAGGCTGAAGGGCACGGCAATGCGAATAGGTAGAAGAACTGGTGCGTACCACTTCGAGGCGTGACCCATTGCTACCACCAGTGGAGCCTTGGACGACCTTGTTGAAGGAATACGCGATACGAGCAGAGCGTGACAGAGAGCTCAGCCTACCTCAGCAGAAGGTATCTTGCTCGGTTCGGACGATGCTCCACAGCCCATGGTTGTGCTGTAAGTGATGAAGTGACCTTGTGCAGTGCGGTTTCGATGCGTTTTTCGTGCACTTCGGTCAATTGCACTACAGATGCAGGAAACGATCGTCGATCAAATCGCCACTTCGACGACACCTCCGTCTTGAGCAAGGTCAATGGTGTAACACGAATCACTATTCCTCACCAGTCATGTACACACTAGTGTTGTGGGCTATTCTATTTTGAGAGGCCAACATGTCGTACTTGGCTTGCAATCGTCCATCTCAGTACATTAACGGTTAGTAAATATTCCCATGTCCCTTGCCGATGCGATAGCACTATCACCAAGGGATAACGTGGCCTCCGATGAGGCACAATCGACTCGTGAGATAGCAGACAGCGACAGTGTGGTCGTGGAGGTCCCCAGAAAGGCTGCTCAAGTGAGGATATCCGTCTCGAAGGCACAGGTAGTAGTATAGGGGTCCATGGGAATAGTAGTAACGCAATCACTAGTCAGTGGGAGTCAGTTCACCTGTATCATGAGAGCTCTACTCGGGGAATATCCTCACTCACTAAGGGGGTGCTGTGAGACATATAGTTACACTGACTTGGAGACGTATACATCCGAGTCGATCTACAGTAGATGTAATACTCTTTCATCCACTACGGGGAATGCTGTAGAAGAGATGAGTATCGTTCATGCGACGTACACTCATAAACACGATGGGGCCTTAGAAGCTCTGCTTATGGATTTTCATCTATAACGGCACACGCTTTACAGGTCGGCGCGTCATACCAATGCAACCCCTCGAACACGTTGTTTCTTTTTTGTTTGCTCATGCGTGGAACTGGACGGTGCATATCTTGAAACTTGAATGCTGAGGTCTGTTGACGCATATCTGATGGAAAACTGGACGCGAAATTTTGTGGTGAATTTGTCTCTGCTCACCTCGTCGTTTATGAAAAAAATATGTCCGCTGCGATCACGTCTGTCAAGAGTCAGAACGCATTCATCGCCCTTCAGGCCACGACGCCTTCTCAGTTCGGTATAACCCCTCTCGATAAAGCTCTGGAAAATCCTGTTAAACACGAGAGCGAAATCAAGTACCACGTCATGATGGCTCGAGAGAAGCTTCCGTGTAACGTTCTGGCGAGAGTAATAGGGCACTCGAACGTAATGCGGTGTCTACTGGACGTGAAGCCATCGCCGTTCGCTTCGGAGACCATACTGGAAGCATTGGGTCAATGCAGTGTCACGGGTGACTATAAGTGTTGTGGAGCTTTGATGGGAGCATTGAAGGAGCCTGGGGATCTCCTGTCTTCTGCTCTGAGGCATGCTGTGGTCAATGGTAACCACCGCGTGGCGATGCTCCTATTGGGCAAGTGCGACCCGGATCCAGACGTCCTTAGAGAGGCATTCTGTAGAGGGGATAGTCGTATGTTCGGTTTGCTAGTAAACTTGAGCCCATCAGTGAACCTCGGTATTGGGAAGCTCTTCGATGGAGATTCGAATGAAGCTGCACAGAGGAGGCTCTTGGAGGCTGTGGTCTGTAGTGGTCTGGTGGCCGATCGGGTGAGCTTCCTTGACGCCCTATGATATATGTGCTCACGCCTCGTTTTTCAGTTGAATGAGGACAGCGTTGCGGCTGTTTTAGAACGTCTCCCATCTGAGGCTCAGGCCGAGACTCTTAAAATACGTACACCCTTTTCACGATTTCGCTTTCCTGATCGCCTGGCTGCTAGCTGTGGTGATTGTGGTGTGCAGGGGTTCCTAGTTGGCCCTCCGAAAGGTAACAACATCTCGAATCGTTTCCAATCATTTTGGGCTCCTCTCAGGTCTGTTTGCGAACCTACCGATCATCGGCTCCCGTGCGAACAGTCGATCGGCATACAACTGCGATGCTTGCGGATCAGCTATTTGCGGTATTTGTCGGCGCGTCTTCGAAGAAGCACAGAGGCCCGTCACACTATGTCGAGAATGCTCCAGGAGCTACACCGGACTCTGGGGGGCTCTCATCCCTAGACCACCTGTCTAGTGGAAGCACCGGAGGGGTTTCTGCAAGAAGCAGTTCTATGAATGGTACAATACACGTGCATGAAGCTGTTAATTGGCATCAGAGGAGCTGAGTTATTGTGTTCATAGTTGGGCGGACGAGGCTAACTAAATCTGAATTTTAACACCTTCTGAGATTTCGGGATTAGTTTTCAGTGCCAGGGTGAGAAACTTCCTACTACAACGCGATGAAACTTCTCCGAGTCCCAAGAGGATTTTCGATGAGGATGGAGATGGTTTGGATAGAGAATCTCAAGTCTAGAGTATCGAAGCCTGCCGAGTTAGCTCCATCAAGCGTCCAGGAGGTGCTCGTGCCGTATGCAGTAGAGATGAGAGTATTCTCCTCCCCTTCCCTCATGACACCCTCGGCATGTCCTACACATCCACTTAAGTACCCATGTGAGAGGCCTCGGCTGGCGGCTCGGGCACTGATACGCATTCTGAGTCTGCCGATAGACATTTATAAGCGTTGCTGCCACTTCTGCGGTGGTTACTAGGCTGGAGGAGGAATCGGCTACTGGGAAGCTCGTGGCATCATGGTCACATCGATGTCGAAATGGCAGAGTTCGCGCATGTAGACTTCGACAATGTTGAATGATAGAGGTTCTGAGACGGTGCATTTGGATGCAGACTTTGAATCCTGACATGTTTCAGAAGCACTGTCGTGCTCGACTGAGTCAAGAACATTCCTTGGCTGTGTTTGACTCGTCATCATGATCAAATTGAGCTTGAAAATAGGTAAAGTTTACTCATTGTACTGTTTACTTGAAGTAAACTACACAACGCAAGAGAAATGGGAGAGAATTTGAAGTTAGAATATGAACATGAACGCTATTGCATGATTGATTAATGAATGTCACGCGTACTGGCTGCTATGTATAACTTTCTCGAGAACCTGAAAGTCGTTGGAGATGGGTGGCCGTATTTACTTCACCTTCTTGCAATAGTCCAATACCAAACTCGAGGGGAGATTTGTGGGGGGCGGCTGAGACACCGCATCCACGATTGTGCGGAAAACCTGAGCCGAGAGCTCTGCCTGCCACTGATGCCTATCGCCAACCTGAGTGCAGGTGACCTTCTTGACGCGGACTGGTATCTCGTGATTTGTTAGGAGCTTCTCAATCAACCCGTAGCACTCTTCCTTCGACAAGCCTGTACAGAGTTCCCACATGAACTGCCCAGGGCGGCATCTCACCATCAGTCTCGCGATGATCCACTAGTGCTTTTGAAACTATTGGGTCGCTCTCGGTAAGGTTATTCAGCAGTCCTCGAGCCTGGAAATTCACCCATCTCCCAAAGTTACCGAATAACTCACCCTGACGATCTTCACGGGAGATTCTTTCGACTTTCTACCGCCACTACTGTCTCTGAGAGAGGATATACCAGAGATAAATACAGACCGTTTTGTTACCTGCCACCGAGTTTCTTCGCTGAAACGGGGGATTTCATCAGAGTGCTCTCGCTCGGGAAGGCACGTTGGGCCTTATGAGGCATCGGCGACTCGGCGAATGGGCTGCCGCTGATTTTGCTGTACCGTCCGACCTCGAGATCGTTCAGTGTAGCATCTGTGAGAAAATGTTCCAGGACGTTTCTATAGCTGCCTTGGCTCACTCGTATCCGCCGGCCCAGCCACACTGAGATACTTGGACTTCACACCTACATATAATGTCACTATTTCAGATCAACAACATAGACTACTGCTTCCAACGTTGAAGTCAGTAGATCTGTTCTCTTTCTTCCTGGGCATCTCTTTGCACCGTGCCAGCTCCTCTTGTAGTCTGGCAATCTCCCTCTTGAGGTCGCTCACTTCAGCGTGTAGCTAGCACAACGATTTTCCTTATGGACTGACGAGCCGCATCCCACTTTGCTAACAATCTTATTCTTGCTAGTCGCCTCCGTTACTGTTATGTTGATATTCTCCAGTTTTTCCTGAACTTCCAATCCCTCGGGGATTCGCCACTTACCCCTACCTCCGCCTCCCTTCGTGCTCTCTTGAGCTCAGCTCTCTCCTCTTGCATGTGGGCGATCTCATCCCGAGCCGTTTCCAATTGCTGAAATACACAACATAACCACCAATAGAAACTGCATGAACCAACCTCCTGGAGCCCTTCCAGCTCCCTATTCTTCCGCACCATAGCCGCGGCACTGCTCTCGCCACCATCGCTACCGCTCCCGTCTACGCCAGCACAAGTATCAACGCCCCAGTAGTTGTCCACCTACCCGTGTTTTGCTTCAAGTGGGACAGGTTGGAGGTCTTGATGACCTGAAGCCTCACATAGCCGCATTATTGCGTCACCACGTTGTACGTTACATCTTCCTTGTATACACGCCCTTCCGCTTTCACTTCAGCCAGCTCAGCTCTCTGAAGTGCCTGCCTAGCTTCCTTCCTAGCAGCCTCCAAGTCTAGCCTCAGTGCGCTCTCTCTGTCAACCACAGCGTCTCTAGCCGTCACAGCAGCGTCCCGTTCCTATGACCTCAGCGTCACTATAAACACGCTCTCTAAAACTGAACTACCTTCTCAGTGTTGCGGAGTTGCTCATGAATTCTCTTTAACTCCGACCTGTCCGTAGTCGTGGAGTTGAGCTCGACCCTGCAGGACAGTACCGTTTATCATAAGCACCCATCCTCACTGCAGCATCTCGTTCTCCTGGGCCGCCTCCTGGAGGGCCTGTTCGAGCTTCGCAATATGGCCTCGCTGTGCTTCCGTCTCACTGACCAGCATCGTCTGCTCCTATACATCAGATTTACGAGTGAGATGAACCTAGCGACCACAACTTACCTGCGTCACCAGCTGGCTCTGCTGCTCTAAGTGAGCCTTGAGTGACGCCAATTGCTGAGGGCAAAATGCATCAGTAAACCATAGAGGAGCCCCAGGGCCCCACCTGCTTAGTCTCCCTCAATGTTCCCATGGTCTCCTCGAGGTCATGCTTCGTCTGATAAATAAATATTAGAATATGAGGACCCGAGTTCGATTCTACCCGACGAGCTTTTTCCTCTGAAGAATTGAGTTCGCTCTGGACTCGCTTCAATTCAGCTGTCCGGCTCTCTAGCTTCCGATTCTACAGAGAGTGGAGTTTGCAGAAGTACCAGAGAGACAGTATGCTCACCAAGTCTGCAATCTTTGGGTCGGGTGCACGACTAGCCGCCGCAGCCGATACCTGATGGCCGAACTCTGTCACTGCGCCACGAAATAGGTTAATCAGTCTCACGAGGGACTCATTCTCCGTCCGTAGCTTGGACAGGGCCGCTTTGAAGTGCCCCTCGCTCACTTTGTAATTGTCTAGCTCTGCGCTCAGCTTTCTTCCTTCCTGAAACGCTTCGAATCCACCACGAGAGTGCCACCATGAATGTAACTCGCCTCTTCCTTTTCCCTCAACTTCTCGGTCGTTGCTTGGAGCTTCTCTCCCAATGCAACGAGCTCAGTGTGAATCTTATCCACCTCAGCCTGGGTCGGCCCAGTGTGCTGCTGTACACGACCAGGAGACTCGACTGAAATGATGAAGTACTACACGTTGGCCCAGCGAGAGATGCTAATGCCTCTAAAAGCAGCCTGCTGATGCGGACGAGCTCCATGGGCTACACTCTGCTCAAGGTTTGACATGTTCGTACTCTGAATACAAGCCAGATAAGGATGCATACGCTCTCCTCTCCGAGTTACCGTAGCACGCTGATTAACAACTTGAACCCTTGGGGGTTGGCCCATACTGTTATTGGTGTTTTGTAAGGGAGTGTGCTGATGGCTGGGCGCCGAGCCAGCAGCATTAGTGTACTGCGGCAGTTGTTGTTGCTGCTGGACAAACTGTGATGGTCTCGGCGAGAGGTGGTTAGCAGTGTGGTGATGCTGCTGCTGTGAGACGTTATTGACTGATGACATGTTGCTCTAAGACACCGCGACAGTGCCCGCTCTAATCTCGAAGCCGACCTACTCCTGCTGCACTAGCTCCTACGGGCGTGTACTGCCCCATGACGTAGCCTGAATTGGGAACCTGTCCGGAGACGTTTCGAACAACCATTCGACCAGGTTGTTGTTGTTGCTGCTGCTGTTGCTGCGGATACTGCAAGCCAGTTGAGTGATAATGCTGAACCGGGTGGCCCGAGGTATTGTTTAAAAAGGAGTTAGGACGATAGAACATAGTGCTGGACAGGGTTATGAATGCCGGGGGCCGAATTGACACTAAACTGAACTCAGGTGAGGGGCAAAGTGCCTCCAGAAACGAGTGCGCCCGAATTCGAAAAACTACAAAGTTCGTTGCGGTAGCGCTAGTCCACGGGCCCCTAAGGCTCCAACCGTTTCCGTTGTAAAATATTCCGCGCTGCAGATACCTGATCCGAGATATGTATGACGGGATTATACCAAAAAAGGTGAGCACCTCTGAATCCGATCCCGCTACAAGATACTGATGAACCCCCTCGTCAGGACCGCTCAATCGACGCCTACTGCCCGCTGGCTCTACCATCAGGGGAGGGTCCATGTCGTTTGATGAGATGGCGGCACAGCAGGGATCGGCTTCATCAATCCTGAGATGATTCTGCAGTGAGGCGATGGGATTATGGACGGGACACGAATTGTGACACTGGCATACCGCACTTCCTAGACATCACCCTTGTGTTATGCCCCGTCTATTGATATTATGTTTGTCGACTGTACTCGAACAGGATCACTTATGTAGTGATTTCCTTTCGTTCACAAGAGTACTCTTGACAAAACCCTAAACCGTGATGATGATACGTATACCGCATCCACTCGGAGGTTTAGTTCACTCCAATGCTTTGGATGTGCGACTTCGATGAGTTCATCTACCATAATAGGTAGATGTGGGTGACGGTAATACTGAGCGGTTAATCTTATTGGCGAAATGTTGGTATAATATGGAGTCGTTGGCTCATACAAGAAGCTACAGTTACCTATATAAATATAAAGAAAATTTGTTTCTTGAATGAGTAAAGGTTAGTTCCGCAAAATGTTTCAATCAATCTATGAAAAGAGGTCATGCAGCGTTATGCAGTTATTACCCGAGTGAAATAACACCAATGTGCGACCTGTTACATTGTAAGCCTTTTTTGATGAGCGTAAAATTTGAATTTCTCGTAAGTTTCGGCGGGTCTTCCAACAACTCTGATAACGTCTGGAAGCCATTCACAAGAGCTTTCGAATGGTATAGGATTTCTCGCGAAATTGAACTTGCCCTAAAAGCTATTTAAGGGTTTCTCAGGACACCCTGTCTGAACATTCCATAGTTGCCACCTTAAAACTAGAGTTCCATGATGACTGTGGAATTATGGTTATTATCCGGTACGTGTATAACAGGTATTACCTGTATCCTGTAGGTTCATCACTGGTCGGGAGTATTCGCCCAACAGCCACTCCGAGGATTACCTGACTGTTGCTAACGCACCGAGCCAATGAATGCAGGCAGTGATACTACCGTGAGAAAGAGTTCCCCCGAGTAAGTCATCGCGACGAGCATAGCCATATAGGCCAATATGAGATTGATAGAGAATAACACTATAAGGATGAGCTTCCCTCGGGCGGATGATCGCCTAGGACCTAGCTCAGACGATGGAGGGCCGCAGGGGACAGTGGCATACCAAGAGCATTCTCGACCCCTTTTCTTAGCCGTAGAGCTCCCTCGGCGAGAACACCAATACAGAAGACCGCTATCATTCCGAGGAAGAACTTGAGTGGAGAATCCAATACTATGAACGGGAAAAAGAGGATGATACAATGGCGATTTCGCGACCACAGAAACCTGTACGCCACCACGTGTACGACTGCATAGCGATGAGAGGACTCACTGGAGGCCAGACATGACCATGTCGGTAGAGCCCTCACAAAAAGGCTCGTCCTTGGCGAATTCTCCAGCGGTAACAATCCCTGCTGGGCACCTACGCACACAAGAGATGTCTAATCAGATAGATACTGGGAATACTACCTCAATGCACAATCCGGCTGCATCTTGCCCGGGGTCATATCACACAGATCCATCTTTCGGAAGTCCCAACAAACGGCGTTCTCAGCAGGACAACCCTCTGGTGGAGTCATACAACGCAGCCAACAGTAGACCTGAGGCTCTTTCCCAGCGAGCACGAGCCCATAGGAGCACGAGTACCTGGCCTGCTGCGCACTGACTGAGCATACGTCTAGACTGGAAGGCTTGAGGGGCCATGAAGAACTGCTGATAAGATACTCCTGCCGAGTTAAGAGCCGTAGGCGGTGCCATCATCATCCGACCGAAGACGACTCGTGGCTGACTCCCATTGGAGACGGGTATTGCCACCTGACGTAGAAGTGTGAATCTATTGCTACACGATGGCGCACCCTATGGCGAGCTGCCATGATGTCAACTGTCGAGGCCATCCACGACTTTAAAGCCTCGCCGAAGATAACCACCAGAGCATCACCATCATCTGGGATTGATACCACTCCTTCTTCAAATTGAAGGCTTCTGTCACCTGGCAGAATACATCCGATCTCTACGTACAGAGAAGTAACTCACCGGGAGGCAGGGACAATAACAGAAATAGTCCCATATCAGCATGCATCTCCACTTGCACTCCTCGGGATGCAGTGGCGTCCTCAGGGACACTATATACGTTCCAATGGTCTAGATGATGTCTACCACCATCTACTGAGACGATTTCCGAGACAGTCGACAACCGCTGCCCTCCCTCCAACGTCACAGCAGTGTCCGTTACGCCCAAGAACAAGGTCTCATCTAGAAGCCTAGCCAAGCTGTGGGTTACCTGCCATTCACAGCATCAATACAGATGAAAAAAGCTGTGCTCAGCAAAGCCCCACTGTTCGCATCAATTCATCCACAGATCGAACGTCAGGCATGGACAAGCAACTCGGCACTTGGGAAGCTTCTCCCGCATATAAGGCAAGCGTTCGCTTCGTTTCGTCGGAGAATCCAAACACCGACTCGTTACAATCGTTGACCAAAGCGTGTGATAGGTGAGCTCTTGCAGTCAAGAACTCAATGGGGAGTCCTGTGATGGTGAAGTGGCCTCGTTCTCGAGCGGTATCAACTATGTCCCGTCCGTGCTCGCTGATACTACCAAACTTGAGACTCACCTCGGCCTGGACGGTGATCACGGCCGCTCCCAATAAGGGGAGAAGTGCAGCATGAAACATTCAAAAGAAGAAGAAGGCCTACAGAGGAGGAGCCACCGTATCCAAGGTCTCGGAACGCAACGTTCAGTGTGAGAGCGAGAGACAACGAGGAAACGGTGAGTCCATGGTAGAGGCACAGGAGACGACAATGCGCAGTTCGGTGAGCGATGCATGAAGAATCAAGCTGGACTGTTGAGACATTTTACAATACAGATAAAGGAGACACGAAGCAGATAGGATCAAGAGTGACTCTATCAGTGTCCATCGAACTCTCCCTGTCCAGTTGGGACACCCACTGTTCAAGAGGTGGTTGTTTCCCACTATTACTTTACATTGTTGTTACCGCTAAGGGAAAAACAATGCATATAATAATTCACTCGCGTCGGTGTCCATAGAAATCTGAGGAAATTGTTGGTTTTTGCACATCTCTATGCTCAGTCGTGCGTATGAGTCTCAATAACGTAACCTTGGAAACTCCTGAGCTCAGCTGAGGATATTAAATTTGTTTCCACGTAACATGTGTGCCCTTCAAGCTCGAACGAAGCGTCCTGTACGACAGTGTGCATGGAGCATCGAACAACGACCATCTCTACCTCCGTCATCAAGGTGAGGCCTATCCTAGTGTCGAGACAAGTAGCAACAACCCTGTACGAGGCGCCGCAATCTCGAAGACGAGTGACTCCATCTAAAACTAGGCTCATGTGTTCGTCCTGCCAAATACTGATTTCCCCTGTTCGAATGGAACAAGTTGCGTATCTTAAACAAACAGCAAGATCCTCACTGAAGGGTTCCAGCAAGAGTCCAGCCGATGAGGCTCAGCATAGAGGGTGCTGATCGGGGCAATGCCCGATCACTGTGAACCGCCATCAACATCCGTCGTTGACTTTTGCTAGGGGATAAGCAGGGCAACGAACGCTCCCGAGATCAGCGCGAGGTCCTCACAAATCACCTCGAGGCAGGTAAACTCACTTCGCCATAGAAAGACCTCTCCCATCCAAACACTCCGACAACCACTGTTCCGTGAGGTCCGATATGAGAATGCTTCCTCCGCTGCGTTGTAGATGCCCACCACCCAGTTGTCGTGGCTTTACTCTCAGCGAGCTCAGCGGTGGAGGAGGCGATAGACTGAGTTATGGACGTCTGAAAAAGATGTGCTGAGGGTTTCACTACTTCCTCGTGTACCTCGACGGCATTGACTTCAAAGACACGTTGAGTGTCAGTACGTTATGGCCTGTCTTCTCTGCCCGTGGTACTCCGTGGAGTGCTAGGTCGGACTGCAAACTGAACCATAGCAAGACAATGCTCAAAGAATATCCGCAGGGAATCAAAGAATTTTCGAGCGCAGGAAGATGATGGTATCTCCATCCTTCTTCTACCATCATCGAACCTTGCTGAATGCCACTCCTCTGAGAGGTAGTTTGACAAGCTCCAGCAGAGCGTCGGAGTCGACAGAGGTCGTCAATAGGAAAAACATACGAAACCGAAAACCGTACTTGAATCTACCGAAGTGAAACCTGTTATTGGCACGCTGGAGAGCACACAAGTGGAATGATACAGACAGCCGTGTGCTTCAATGAACATCATGTCGCTCGTGCGTGGACATCGACATCATGGGTCACGCCGTCACGGCGTCGCCGTGTGTTGTGGGTCCAGTTTGCCTGCACCCTTGTAATCTCATCAAACCTTCGCCTTCCTCAGTATAGCGAATGAGCCCAATATCGATTACTGTGCTGCTAAGTCTGTGGTATTCGTACAGAACTTAAGTGCAGGTAGTGCGCTTATTGTTATTGTCTTAGGGTCGTAGTATTGGTTGCTCTAGCTCGAGTTCCCTTGTTGTGTTGTTCTTAGAGTTCATCAACCGATACCCCGACACCTTTTTGGTAGCAGCTCCTTGTTACGAACGATTACAACTACGAGATGGTTGGTTCAGCTTCTGGTTCTACCCCCACTCCGCCCCGAGCGGAGGGGGAGGGCCCTCGGGCCCCCTTGGTGCGTCGTGATCCTGAGGAGGCAGCTGAGGAGGCCTATGACGAGTTCATTCGTGCTGAGTTGGGTGAGGCAGCGGCTAAGCAGGCGGCCGAGATGGCGAGGCGTTCAGTTGAAGAGTATAACCGCGTGTTAGAGGAAAGGTCACCCCCTCAAGCGACCCCAACACTGAAGCATCAAAGTATGGTTACTGAGTCGGCTGAGGACAACAAGCAGACCGAGTTATCACAGACGAGAGGCATGTTGGCGCCTCTCCTCACTGGTCAGACGTTGCAAGTGGTGACCGCCCAGATGCCGGAAAGATATGATGGAGTCTCCGACCTAAGGATCTGGTTCCGAAGGTTCGAGGCGGATGCCAGGGCGGCCGGTTGGAACGAGCACATGATGGCCGAGAGATTGGGTAGCTTCTTCAGGGATTCCTATTTTGACACTTGGGATGAGAACGCTGGCAAGAAGGACTTTGCTGCTGATCGAGAGATGATGTTACAACTCTTTGACCTGATTCGTCCCGACGAGGCCCTGGAGAAGTTCCACGCCTTATCTTGGGACGGGAAGGGTCATGTCAGTCAGTTCATGGCCATCTTGAAGCGGGCCCTGGAGGAGTACG